AATTTAAATGCATCTATTAATTACATTATAACATCACAAGAAATTTCAAAATATTATGATCTAATAAATTTTTCATTTCAAATATTGCTAAAATTATGCTTTCTATTATTATTGGCATTTCTAATTTACTTATTTCGTACATGCTGGAAACACCCACAGCTTTCTTGTAATAGAAACATTGCCATCTTATGGGGAAATCTACATTAATGAATGTGTACTCACCAATGGTTAAGGGATGCTCAGACAGTTACTTATAAAAGTTTCCATTCCTTGTTTAAAGGCAATTGGCCTTTTTGAACTGTGCTATAACATTCCATGTATAGTAAAAAAAAAAAAAAAAAAAAAAAAAAAAAAAAAAAAAAAACCTTCATTCCATTAAAAAATAATTATATGCAAAAAAATTATAAGGTGGGAGCCTTCGAAGTGTATATTCATTTCAACTTTACAATAATCAGAAAATTCTAAGAAACATACCATATAGAAATGTATTCTAAGAAACATACCATATATTTTTTAAAAATAATCTCATTGTTAAAATAATTCAAAATATCAATTCAAAAATACAAAAGTTGATTAACTAAGTTAATAAGGTTCCCTAAATAAAATCTTAAAATTCATTAATTTGTTAAACCAAATTTGCAAAATTTAAATTTCTAATACCATATAATTTTTAGTATTCCAGTAATGCTATGCAAGTAATCCAATAGAACAAACGGCATCATGTATTCAAATTCAAAATAATAGCAATTTTTCTATTGTGTAAAATATGTTTAGTTACTTTAATGAATGCTCAAATTATTTCATGACCAGTAAAGTATCTAGTGTAAACTGCAAGAACATTAAAAATGCATTGCAAAATAACATTAAAAATACTATTCCAGCTCCATACATCTGTTAATTCATGTTAAGGAAAAGTATAAAAATTTTCTCTCACTCTTGCCATCTGTTGAAACAGAATAGGGGACAAGCTAGGGCATATAGCAACTAGTAGAAACTTTCTAAAATTATAACTGAAATTAATTTTGTGCTGTGTAATTAGTGGTATATTAGAATTATCTTCATTGTCATTGGAGTTTTCATTTACTATGGCATGGCTGCAATCACTCCCATTTTTTTAATCACATCTCCTGGCAGGCCCACCAGCAGCCTAGCAGTAAAATTGCTGAACTCTGGTAGTTCAGTCCGGGTTTGAATCCCAACAATCCGGGTTGCTGCTTGAACGCTTTCATGGTTTTCCCCATGTGTAACGTGTATATAAGGAAATTTCACTTAGAAAGTCATCCATGAAAGCATCCCTCATTAGGCAGTACTTGTCAAGTGCTTTGCCATAATCAAATAAATTAAACCTAACAAATTATCTCCGGGTAGATTGCTAAATCTTCTGGTTATTTTTAGCCTTTACTAAGGAAATGTGCTGCAGCAATAAATGAAAATTTATTGAATTAATGAAACTTAAATTTGGCAAATTCTATCCCGCAGCCTCTAGTGATTTTCAGAATATTTTTTAAATAAATTTATTTCATTTGAATTGTAATTTTTATTGCATTTTATTTACCTTTGTATTAAATTTCATTTAATCTGAGTTTTCTTAATGTACTGCAGACATTTGTAGATTTTTATATGAAAATTCAAGCAATGTTTAAGCAGTTAATATGGTACATTATTAAGTATGTCAATGCAAATATTGTGTACATTAATTATTTATTTTAATTCTGTTTAAAAGTACTATGATAAATAAAAGCTTTCCTTCCCTACTTGAGATTTCTTGAGTATAAAAATGTAAAAAAATTTTTTAACGAAATTAGCCAAAAAAATGTTTAGAATATCAAATTAAATGCTACTGTATCAGGTTTTAATAAAAGTTTCCTATCACAGTAAATATCTGTGCAAACAGTTTGCATTGGTGTATTTAATTATATTTTGTCAAATGATTTTTGGCATTTGAAAGAAGGAGACTTGCTTTACAGCACTGTGTTGTGAAATTTGTAAAAAATATGGTTATCATTAAATACAAAGTGTCTGAAGTAGAATTATCACATTACCAGATTAGAATCATCATTTACTTCTGTTTTCTTGCAAAAAGTCAGGTACACAATGTCACCAAATCATGTATATAGCTTTAGGTACTGATGTTGTATCATATGAGACTGTGAAGGTTTGGTGCCAAAAGTTCAAAAACAAGGACTATGACATTCAAGAAGCAGAGCTACTGATGTTGATGAGGCCCACCTGCAAAAACTTGTGGAAGAAGATCAGTATGCAACCACTCTGCTTGCTAGAGTTAGACGTTAGTGCTACGTTCATCAGTCATGCTGTGTATTGCATAAACTTGACATACAAGTTAGTTGTTGAGTGCTGCATGAGTTGACTCAAGCAGATAAGGACAGAAATGTTCAGGCCTGCACTACTGCTAGAATATCAATTTAAAGACAAAATTCTGGACTGATTTGTCACTTATGATGAAAAGTGGGTTTACTTCAACAACACATGCCAAAAAGGGGGTTGGTCTGTGCCCGGTGAGCACGTCGGCAACATCGCAAAGCACAGTTTGACTAACAAAAAGATCATGTTTTGTATCTGGTGAGATTGCTGTGGTATTATCCACAAAGAGTATCTGGAAAAAGGTAAAACCCTCGACAGTAAGGTGTGCAGCGAGATGCTGGTTCTTGTTATCAAGGTAAAATGTCGGATTGAGTTTCGGCACAAAAAAGTTAATGTTCCATCAAGATAAAAGCAAGACCACATATGTGAGCATTCACTCGCTGGACTCCATACGGACTTGAATGGGATCATTTGCCACACCCACCATATAGCCCTGACATCTCTCCTTTGGACTTCTATGTTTTTCACACCTGGTGCTATCTTCCATTCTCCACAGGATGTCTGAAATGAGGTTGATCTGTTTTTGCCCCCAAGTTTCTGGGTTGAAGGCTTTGAAAACTACCAAAACATTGGCAGAAAATCATAGATTTGGATGGTGGTTACTAAAGGTACTGCTTTCATGTTTTTTTCTAACTTTATTAAGAACGTTTTTTGGCGGAAAGTTTTCGTTACAACCAGATATTTTACATCAGAATTGTATTGCAGATGGTTCAATAACCTGAATCATGCATGATAAAATTAATTGAAGTCATTTTGGTGGTTCTTTGAAATGGTTGTTGCCGTGCAGCTTGAAAACCTAGTTTCTTCTGGTGTTAAGTTTCCAAGATTGACAGCTATACCATGTAATAATGGAAAATTTAAATACTGAAACTGCGGAAGTACTATATATGTCTTAGTGGGATGAATTTAGATCTTAATGGGTAAATTAGCTCTATATTTACAGTAGCATATCCTTAAAATAAATAAGGAGCTGCAGTAAAAAATAGGAAAATTTAGTTGTAATTTTGTGCAAAGTGATATATTTCAGATATGCATTAGGTAATTAATTTTGTTTTTGGAACAATGTTCATATAGTTATTTCTGTTTTTTCGTTGGTGGCTGCCAAAAACAACACAAAAAAACATCATGGAGAAGAAAACAACGCAAGCGAAAACGTCATAGTACACAACATTGTGGGAGAAAAAAAAAGCAAAAACACTGCAGTTCTAAAATATCATCGTACAAAATATCGTGGTAAAAAATAAAGTACCTATTGCACATATGCAGTTTTTCAGGATTTAAAATTTGAAAGTGTATTTTTGCATAATGATTTGGGAACCCAAGAAGGAAAGGAGAGATATATATTTTTACTTCTATATTTTATATTTTTGAGTGAACTAATAAATTTTTGCTGGAAATGTAAGAAGGAAACTTAAGCATATAAAAATTGAAAATGAGTAGAAAATTGATGCAACTTATAGCACTTAACAGAATTTTTAAATCTATATAGTTATTTAACAAAGGTTATTAATGAATAAGTCTTTTTTTAATAACGTTTTACTGATAAGTTTTCATGAAAAATACAGTCTAAAAATGTTTAGAAAAGGAAGACAACTGCATGAGGTTACGTCTATACAAATTGCTTAGTTAACTATCAAATGTTTTTTCACGCTTGTTAATCTATTATTGTTTTAGTGAAAATTATATCTTGTTTTGTTTACTTTAATTCTTGAAGTGTCGTTAACATTTTCTCCCCCTTTCCTTCTTGTGCTGCCAAATCATTGTGCGAAAATGCAGTTACAACTTTTAAAACCTGAAAAATGCATATGTTTGATGTTATCGTCATGTGATGATTTGTAGGCACTTTATTTTTTACCACGGTATTTTCGACCACGATGTTTTTAAACTGCGAAGTTTTTTAACTGCTTTATTTTCGACCACGATGTTTTAGAACTGCGATGTTTTTCTCTTTGCTTTCTTTTCTCCCATGAGGTTTTTGCAGTGCATTGTTTTCTGCGCAATGTTTTCGGCTGTAATTGTTTCATTTGATGTATTTTAATTATCTTATGTTAGAGATGAATTAAACAGACACACTAAAATTAAAAATGCTAAATTAGCTAACTAAAAATCTTAAATTAGGTAGCTATAAACCCCAGCCATTGACTCTGAGAGTAGGTTAAGAGGCAAATGATCTTTGTTTTTTTACTGTAAACAGTTATTTTTTCCTGGTGTCTGTAAAAGTGCTAAAGTAATTAATAATGATTAGAAATAATTTTAAAAGGTAATTATTGAATTTTTAGTATGATAGCTATCAAGAGCATTTCACATTTGTGTGTATTGCTCTCATTTTGTACAGGATTCCTTTTCTTGAATTATATGATTCATTTTTCAAAATTTGTTTGAAATTTTTTATTAAATTTTAAAAAAAAATGAATTTAAAAAAAATAAAATGAAATGCCTGAAATAAGAGGTGGGCATATTGCTATACATTGCTGTAGCATGATTTCAATCTTTTTTTTAAACTCTTTTATGAAGTGTGTAAAATCTAGCAATATTAACATTTTTAAGTATGCAAATGAAAGGTTAGTTTTAAAATTTTGTATACATTTTTTTTTTTTTTTTTTTTTTTTCTGTTTTAGGTATGGTTATCATAATATGCGTTATGTGGCTTCCCTGGTTAGTGGTGTTGGAATATTCTTCCTTGGCACTGGGCTTTCAATTTACCATGGAATAACAGGGATTTTAAACCCTGAGACCATGGAATCACTGTATTGGGTGACGTGGCAAAATTTGATTTTTTGTAATTTAATTCTTTGGCTGTTTAATGATAGGCCTTTAGTATTTTTGTGTTTCACTTCTGCTTAATTTTACTACTCTGCACATTCATTTCATTATATTGGAAGAATGTCAAGTAAAAGCTTAATTTTCCATTTATTGAGCTTAAGCATTGTATATTTAATGAAAGTTTGTGTATTTTAAATTTTGTGTATTAATACATCAACATTTATTTTTAGGCTTATATTGTTTTAGGAGGTTCCTTAATTTCTGAAGGAGGTACTGTGATAATTTTTTGTAATCGATCAAATATTTAAATTTCTATTTTGCTTAAAATTTATCTTTGCTGGGCATGTGATATTATGTGTGAACATTTTATGTAGGTACACTTGCTGTAGCATTTAGAGAAACAAAAAGTGGTGCTAAACGAGAGGGCATGAGTATTACACAGTATGGTAGGTATATCACCTTTAGTTACTCATATGGTTATCTATACAAAATGTAATACTTGTAGAACTCAGATACCTCTTTTTTTTTTTAAATAATTTTGTTTAAATTCAATACACTATTTTACATTTCCTCAAACACTTCTTTTCTGAGATTGCCTGGGACTATTTTTTTTTTTTTTTTTTTTTTTTTTTTTTTGTTTGTTTTTGACAATTATTATGTTGTTTTTGCATTTATGTATGGAAGGAGAATAGCTGCCAAATCTGTGTCATGAATATAGTTGCTTTTCTGATACGTCAGAAATCTCATAATTAATGCGTATCTTAAATCTTTTGTCTCTCATTAGATTGTATGCCTCTTAATTTGCACATTTCGATCACTGCAGTCAATAATTTCCTTTTTCAACTGTTTCATGTAATTATTAATTATTAAATAAATGTAGGATTTATCTGCATGAACTATGATTTATTGGAATTTCTTTGCGATTTGAAAAGTCACTTATGTTAGCAACATTTGTTAAAAGATTAAAAATTACTTAAATTTAAATCCTGCAGCTATAGGATCTAGCCATTGCTAAGTTTCAGAAAATGTAAATCTCCATAAAGGAGTTTCTGTGTATCATTCAACTTATGTCTGACCATATGCTTTTTCTTCCTACTCTGGATATTTATTGCTGTGATGTCATTAATTAGGCACAAGTTAAAACAGAGTTTAACAGAATGGCTTCAGTAAAACAGTTCTGCAACTTCAAACAATTTCAACTTTTATTTTCAGCCAAAAACTTTAAAAAATCTTTTTACATTTAAATGATAGACAATTGATGATCCAGTATCACAATATTCATGCAGTAGCTTTACAAGTATTCCAATTTTTTTCATTAAGTCCACCTTCTGATTTATGCAGAGAGATTTATGCTGATGCTTAATATTAGCATTCTCTTTTACACTTCTTGGTCACTTAATTTACATCTTAGAGGGCAGTAATAAAACTGAAAAAGAGAAATTAATGTACACATTTGTTTCTTATATAAATAGATATAGGTTTCTGTTCATGATTAATACTGATGTGGTAGCAGATGGATGTTGAAAACATGCATAATTAAGGGAATTACTTGATTAAAAAGATACAGCCTATGTTGAGATTCATCTAATGTGTAAAAAATTCATTCTGCAAAATACTGATTTTTTTTTCAACTTGAATTATAAGCAATTTTTGAAACAGGCAATACATTACATGAATGTGTTATGTTTTGATGAAATGTAATGTAGATAAAATGTCCCACATTTTATAAAAATCTTTTAAAAATTGCGGTTAATGTTTATATTTGAAGTAAAATTTAAACATTGTTATAATCTGATATTTCTCATAAATGTTTATATTTGGAATACTTCAGGTAAGTATATTTTAAATATTTTTTCTAAATATTGATGAAAAAATTTATTTCAGGGAGATTTAGAAACAGTTCAATTTTAATATTTAATTTAAATATGTTTTCCATTTTGTGTAGAGATTTTAGAATATATTTCCATTATATGCAGATTTATTTAAGATTTGTGATTGTAGTTTTGCGAGGGCAAGATCCTAGTGTAAATGTTGTATTGCTGGAAGATATAGCTGCCGTTGTGGGCATTTTCATTGCCGGAACATGCATGGGATTGACATCATATACAGGACTGCCAATTTATGATGCTATAGGCTCCCTTGCTGTAGGAGGTGTTTTGGGAGCTGTTGCTTCATTTATAATCTATACGAATACAGCTGCTCTAGTCGGCAGGTGAGAATTTTTAAAAAGTTTCCTGTATTTAATTAGTACTATAGTTGCTTTAGATTTGTATCATTTTTACACATTGTATAAATTAATTTGCATTTTTGTATACTTTAATATAGGTCTATTCCAGCTGAAAGACTGCAGGAAATAAATAAGGAAATGGAAAATGATGTTATGATCAGGTAAAAATATTTTTAATGCATTAGTTTTATCTATCGGTGGGCATTTAACGTATTTTATTGTCAGAACCTTAATGATCACTATAACAAAAAATAAGATGATACAAGAGGACTTTCTTAAATAAAACACATAGAAAATGTGCTCATGAATATCAAATTTTTCGGGTCAAATAATCATTTTTATTAGCTTAGGGAATTTCTTTTAATGATGTATCAAGGAGTATTGTCACAATTTTTAACAGCAGGCAAAAACATTGAAGTGATGCATTGGCTCAAATACATCAGTCATGAAACTCATTACCTACATTACAAAAAAAAAAAAAAAAAAAAAAAAAAAAAAAATTCAGTGTCACTGCTGGATATATTAAAAAAATAGTTATAGCCCAAAAGACTTTTTCCTGTCAGATTTCATGATGCTCACAGATGGAATAAACATCAAATTCTTTTTATTGGGAAAAAGTATCCTGCAAATAATCTCTAAGCTATATAAAATCTGCTGGTACTGTGATAAAACATACTCTTTTCCAAAAATTGATATCTTAAATTTAAAAATACTATAACATGAATATTTGCATCACTTAATCTTGTAATTGAAGTATAAGTTTGTGGCCAGCAGTTGTGAGAATAAAGGCTGTTTGTGCACAGCAAGGACTTAAATCATCATACTGTATAATTTACATAAGATTACATATTGATATTTTGAGCTGAGAAATAGACATTGATACCTCAGAGCCCATGTTATTGATGGGAATAAGCTGTTTTGTGATAAATATATGGATGGAAATTTGTAAAAATAATTTTTCCTTGATTTACTAGAATGTTCTTGATATCTGCAAGTGATGAAATTGTTTAATATCAGCTTTTGAGAGATATGTGCCTAAGCTCCCAGCAATAATTTTTAATGCACCTTGCAGTGCATTTCTATGTTGAATGTTGAAGTTATTCATGCAACACTGCATAACATTGTGTCTTCTTTTGCTGAAAATCTTCTTCAGTCAGAAACGCTGGGAAAACAATTTAATGAATAAAAGAGATGCTTATAATTTGAGTATAAATTGTAAAGCATTTCACAAGAGGCCTTCTTTAAACAAGTTAAAACTTGATGTAAATGTAGTGATTAGTTATGATTGTATTAGTTTATTTTTGTATTTTGTGTGGAGATGCGTATAATTTAAGTATAAATTTTAAAGCATTTCAAAAGAGGCCCTCTTTAAAGAAATTAAAACTTGGCATAAATGTAGTGATTAGGTACGACTGTATTGGTTTATTTTTGTATTTTGTGTAATAAATAATGTGTTTATCTTAGTTCTATTTAACTATTTATAGTATGTCATATTAGAGTTAATTATTATAAAACATAATATAAACAAATATATTGAGAGGGGGGGACTGCAAAGAAAAATCAAACCATGAAATAAATATTTATTCACATTCAGTCCATGTTTTTACCTAAGCATGAACTGTCTTTGAGAAATTTTTCATTTTTTATCATTTCATAGAATGCAGTTCATAAATTCCTTGTATTTTAAGGCTGTTTTTGTAACTGAAGTTTCATCTCTCCTGAAAATGATGCATTTGAAATTATTAGAGGATACCATGAAAAATTAAGGTTAATACTTCTTTTAGTGAATTTTGCAAAATGTTGCATCTTTAGTTTGAGGCAGAAATGATGAGAGAAAATAACATTTCAGTTTTGAGAAAATGAAGAAAATCCTTAGCAACAACTCTTAGAAATGTTATAATCTTGTGTCAGAGTACATATTTGTGCAAAACTTCATCTTTACAGCTCCTAGTATGACTATTTTAATCTATTAACTGTGAAATATTTTAATTACAAGTAGACCTTGGTTATCCAACTTTCAGCATTTCAATTCTTAGTATAACTATTTTAAGCTATTAGCCTCTTAATATACAAATAAAAATGCAAGTGATATTTTTTCCAACTTTTTTTATTCCTTATTTTCATACACAAAAAATTAATGTATCTTTTGAAATTAAACACAAGAAATATTTAAAAAAAAAAAAAAAAGGTTTATTAAACTCTGTATGTTGCTGAGTTGAGTTAACTGTGGCAGTAAAAATGTCAAGGTAATAACAGTTTTTTTAGTCAACATTTACCATTTTGTGATAAGTTTTAAAGCTTGAAACTGACATAAAAAAGAGCATCATAGTCTGGACACAAGTATCTTGTTTCTTTACAGATCTATTTAATTTCTCATTCCTGTTTCTAGAGCAAAGGAAACACTGGCAGGGTGATGTTGGGATATCTGAAGGTCATGAAGTTCTTGTATTAGCTGTCACTTTATATTTTTGATTAGTGAGCTGTATTACTTTGAGGTGAAGATCAGGTGAATTGATTCTAATGTCATATTTTTGATAAGTACAAAAGAGTTCCATTGTGTTAAGTCTAAGAAATAAAAAAAATCTTTTTGTAATACTTCTTGCCTCTTTTCTGAATACTACTGTACAGTCATTAGGTTAATTGGAAGCAGAAAAAAATGAAAAATATGCAACCGCCTTCGCTGGGAATCAAACCAACGGACCTCTGGAATACCTGCCCAGCGTGCTACCGTTACACCAAGAAGGCACACTAGGAAAGTGGGAGAAATACCTTATACTACACAGGGACAAGGGTTGATCAACATAGGTTCAAGTTGTGGTTTATTTAGTTTTTCCTATTAATATAGTGTGCATGGGAGCAATTAGGGATTTTTCATCTGTCCACTTCATTACACAGACTTTTCCTTTTTGGAAGCCAGTAACTTCTCCAGTTTTAAATTTCTTGCTCTTCAGCTCCCTGGGTACTTCTTTGCATAATATGCTTAGTTAACATATTTTTATGAAAAGATCAACCTATTCAGGTGAATTATAAAAGATAGCTATCATCATACAATAATCTACTCCACCAGCAGTCGAGCAGTAAAGTCGCTGAACACTGGTAGTTTTGTTTGAATCTCGCGAACAGGTTGGCTGCACAGGTGTTTTTGCGGTTTTCCCCATGTGTAACGTGTATACGAGCCAATTTTCCTTAGAAAGTCCTCCACGAAGGCATCCCTTCCCTTAGGCTGATAGCCCTCTAAGCTTTGCCATAATTAAATAACCTAACCTAAATAACAATAATCTTAGTCAATGAAGGTTTTGCCAATGTCATCACTTTTTGCAAAGACACCAGGAGATTGATAAAATGGCTGTCCAGAATGAAAATCTTTCCAGTGTATGTCATAAAATTATCGATATATTCACTTTGTGATTCACATAATACAAGTTTTTTTATTGTAAATTTAAATCTTTTGAGAATGTATTGAACTCATCCAGATGATTTTTATAAAGTTCACCAGCAGCTGAGTGGTAAATTCACTGAACACTGGTAATTCCATCCAGATTCATATCCCAATGGATGGGCTGACTGTATGGGTGATTTCATGATTATCCCCATATATAATGTGGGTAGGTTCCAGGTTTCCTTAAAAAGTCCTTCACAAAGGTATCCGTATCATTAGCAGATATTCTTTGCATGCTTTTCCATAACCAACCAAACCAAAAATAATGAATAACATTTATAATGCAATAAACTTTTGTCAAGAGTCACCAGTTTTTCTGGCATGCTTGAATGCTAAATTCTGAATTCAAGTCTTCATAAAAACACCAGATTTTATGTAGTGTTAGGCAAAGGTAATTAGCTGAGTCATAGTTATCATCATTTAAAAAACGTAGAAATTGTTTTATGATCTTGAAGCATTTTCTGCTCATGCATTGCAGAAAAAGTGGTGCGTACAATAAAGAATTTTCATTCATTTCAGGACAGTACAGTACAAAGTCTGTAATCCGGACATTTATTATCCGGAATGACCTATAATCCGGACCTCAAAGCCACAAACGTTTTTTTTGGTATGCTTTACACATGCGCGTTTAGCACAAAAAAAAATGAAGAAACTTAAACAACTTGCATTGAAAGTAATGTTTAATAAAGTAAACAAATAAATATTAAGCTTTTTTTTGTAAATTCTGATACACTTTTTAGATCATAATTGCTCTTTATTTCATAAATTACAGTTTCATACTTTTAATTGTATAATTTCTGCATGCCATCTGACCAGATTTAAATTGATGATCTATAATCCGGAAAAACCCTTAATCCGGAATCACAGAAGTCACGACGAGTCCGGATTACTGACTTTGTACTGTATATGGTTTTCTCACTATACTTTGCCAAAGTACAGCTGCTAGGACTACTCAAATTTCCCTTGGATTTTTGTCATACCATGAAGTATTTGCATTATTACAGGCATGACTCATCACATATCGCTGTATTTAATTTGCAATAGTTGAATCAATTGATCATCAAAAATATCCCAAAGAAATTTAGGCAATTATAATCAATAATATGAATATCTTTTTATACTTGGTGCTTAAGGAAAAGCAAATGATGTGAGTGTATGAGCATTTTGTAGCAGTGGATACCATTGCTGGGCCAAAGCAAAACTTCTTTCATTTTCAGAAATAACATCAGGTTCTGCATTGCTGCAACTGTATTTTAAAGTTATGTCATCTGACCTAAGTAACAAGTCTGCCAAACACTATCCATTATAGTATTATGTAAAGATAAATTTTCAAAGTTTACATAATAATAGAAACAAATATGCAGTTGTGAAACCCGCTGGCTGTAATTCACTGCAGCTTTTTGAAATGAAGGTAAACCCCAAAGTGACAGCAAGGATACATGCACAAAACCAAATAGCTGATACATCGCAAAGGGAAATTTTCCCATATGAAAGGAAATAAGCTCAAAACTGTAGTGGAGGTATTCGGTAGTATTCACATGTGAAAAAAAAATTCTTGAACATATTAACTGTGGTGAACAGAAAAATCTTATTTCAGTGTACTTGAGTTAACTTGGTGGAGTGCATGAAATGGTTAACTATAAAGTATTTCAATCGCAACTGGACCTAGATTATCCCAAACCTGTATTATCCAAATTAAGCAAAGTGGACTGTGACAATCTTGTGAGATTAATCTCAAGTGCTATTTTTCCATTCTTGGCTTTATGTGGATTTCTAAAAAATGTTTCTATGCAAAATGTTGTATTAGTGTGACTGATGCATAAATGAGCATGTAAAACATCTCAAACTGCATGCATGGTCTATCCATGATGAGGACTTAATTTACTTACGCAATTTTTATTTACACTGCACAGCTTTAATTAAAGTACATCAGTTTTCCCTAAACTTGTGCATCTTAATTTTGTTTCATAATATTCCCTTAAAAAAAAAAAAAAAAAAAAAAACCACCCTATTTCACTCAAATGACATATTTTTTTCCATTTATGACAAATTAGATGTCTTGGAAATTCCTAAAAAGATGTAGATCAATTCAAATTTCTGACATCAAGAATTCAGAAAGTTGAATCTAAGACTACCACAATGATTTTATTATTTTTTATTTATATGTTTCTGGTGAAGCAGTACATTGAAATTTTTTTTAATCGACCTGAAATAAAAATGTAGAATACGTGTTTTACATGTAATATATTAAGCAATGCAGTTTGAAGGCTGCAATGTAATTAACTTGATTAAATTGACCATATTCTGAAGATTATGTAGCTCTCACAAGACTCTATCTGAATTTCATTCAAATAGTCAGTTCAGCAGTACAAAAAAAAAAAAAAAAAGAAAAGAAAAGAAATAAGTAATCAAAATAAAGCAGGTAGTCTGCTCAAGTAACAAAAATAAAACAGGCAGTCTATCTCGGTATGAAGACATGGCACATTTCTGCCTTTCCTTTTTAATATTCTAAATATAAACATCAAACTAAAAAATACAGTGTTCTCAAATAATGAAAAATAACTTGAAAGTTAAAGTTACTACAACTGTTGAGTTCCTTGATGCATCTCCTCCCACCTTTTGATTTATGGTGATTGGAACTTAAATCAAAATACAATATATTTAACAAGGAGAATAAACAACAGTATACTTACTTTATACTACTTTATGCATAAAACTGGTCATAACATGAAGGTTTTACTGTTATCCTACCACATTTAGTTTCAGTGTTTTATCAGAAACCTTAATGTCTTCACCACAGTGAATATTAAATTGTTTTTTGTTTAGATAAAATCAAGCTATCATTGTTCATCCCTTACAAAAGGATACAATCATTACCATAGGATGAATACATTCACCTGCAGCTGTTTTCACCTTTATAATTTAAATCTGAAACAATTCAATAACTCAGACCAAATAGCCAGTTCAACCTAAGTAATCAAATAAAGCAGGCAGTCCCCCAAAGTAATCAAAATAAAACAGGTAATCCACCTAATAACCAAATAAAACATAATCTAATAAAGAGCTTATTTCATGATCTGTTTCAGTTAGCTGAGAATAGATTCTATATAAATTAGCAAAATTAAATCTAATGCTCTCTTGCTAAACATTGTCTCCTTTTAAGTCATTCAAACCATTAAAGCACTTTGTAGAATTAGATCTTATATGTGATTGCTTTTTAATAAGCAATTCCATTTTCAGAATAATATGTAATTAAAAAAACGTACCTTTAAAAATCACATCATTTGGTCACTGTGTTATGAGACTCTCTCTGAATTTCCTTGATTCAGTCAATTCTCCAGTACAAAAATGTAAAAAAGGAATAAGGAATCAAAATAAAACAGGCAATCCACCTGAGTACAAAAATGGCACATTTCTGCCTTTCTTTTTTAATATTTTAAATATAATTTTAAAACTAAAAATTATAGTGTTATCAAACTGTGAAAAATATGGAAAATTATGTTTACACAACCGTTGGGTTGCTCATGACAGTATGAAGGACAGTTAGGTGTGATCCAAGGGGCCTGCTAATTCTGCAAACACTGCATGGTTTGCTGTCTTTCAAAATTCTAAATTTGATGATGTAATAATCTAAACCTGTGTAATATCCTATTTGAAGTCCTTTACTAACTGTTGATAAACCTTTTATATGTTTATGTTAAATCCAATTTAATCACATAAATTGCTTTCTTCATTCAATCTGGAATAGTATCAAAGATATCTTCTTCTGAACATATGTAGATGGGCTGTGCTTCCTCTTTTTCATATTTGCCTTCAAGAACATTTTCTTCCAAACTCTGTGTATGCAAACTTGTAGTCTATTGTAGTATATTTTTGTGAAGCATTGCAATTTAAATGCCCCAAAAAGCGGAGGTGAAATTTGTTTTAATTTAAATGCCCCAAAACAGAGGTAAAATTTGTTTTAGTTTAAAAGCATCTAAATGCTTGCTTTTGTTTATTTTAAAGTTTTGTACGTTAGTGAGTTTTTTTTAAAAATTATTCTGGGAAAGATATTCATTTTACCTGCATTTGTTAGCAATTGTTCAGTGCCTATGTTTTAAGTAATTGGTTTTGTTTCTATTCTAAGAGCCATACATGATGTCAAAGCAACTGATATGGGAAATAATTATGTGCGGTACAAAGCAGAAGTTGATTTTGATGGCAGACAGTTAACTCGCTCATATTTAGATTCCCAAGATTTAGACATTTTACTTGAGGTCTGTAAGTTTTTTGTTTATTTTTTAGTTTGTAGTTTTTTTATGATTAAATTTAGGAACTATTTTAATTATGATAACTGATATAATATAATAAAATTAATTATCAAGTACATTCTTGATAGTCATCTTTTTTAGATAAAGTTTTAAGAGATTTTAAGAAAATTTTCACTAAAATCATGTTGATTCAAAGCAGCCTTCTGCTAATATATATATATTTATTTACCAGTAATTATCCTTCTTTATAGTAGTTGTTATGATGAGTAGGGAAAAGATTTTAAGGTGAAAAATTATTATCAGAAGTTGCTGCTCAAGTTGTGAGCTCTAAAACAGTTATCCAAACATTTATTCATTCTTGACTAAATAATAACTGTATGCTATAATGAGTAATCTAATAACCTTATACGGGGAAATTAATATACCATTTACTGGACATTAAGAAGCTTTCTCCACTGGATGATATTCACCATTTGTGCATTTTAGAAAGTAAGTCGCTGGCACTTTGAGCTTAGGAGATCCTTGTATTTTTAGAAACTGCTCAGCATCTACAGAAACCAATGGAATATATCTTGTAAGAATGCAGAGATTCATTCACCGTTGCAAATGTGTCCGCCCCCCCCCCTCTGTATTGTTCCTCATATTTAATACAAACTTTGCTTTAGCATATCTATTTAGCTTGCATTCACTTTGTCAGCTTCTTTCATTTTACTCCTTTTACCATACATTCTCCTTCCAAATACAGAATCGCATCAGGCAAGTACTTGTAGCCAAGCATTGTGAAAAAATTCCGACTTTAGATTTTTATCCTTGAGCATTGTTGGGCAAGCTTGATGTTTGCAGCTTCTGTTGAATTCTAAGGCAGATATCAAACATTTATTTAGTTTTTGATTTTTTTTTTCCAGGAAAATACATTTGATCCAAATATTCTTCCTGCTTATTATATAAAAACCTGATAGGTATGGTAAGAGCTGAATAACATCTTGGTACAAAATGTTATGACTCAGTGCCTTTATGAAAATCTTGTTCAAGATAGCAATGAAATCATTTATTTAAGTTAAATATTCTTTACATTTGAATTAATTTAAGCATTGTAGAAATCTAGTGTCATTTATGGCAAAAAAATGTTTTTATGTTCCTGCTTGGAATGCATATTTAATACTCATATCATTTGATGGAAAAGTAAATCTTTCTATGTTGAAATACTTGCTTCTCTGCTTGCTTTCTATGTATTGAAGTACTGAAATCAACATGGTCTTTATAGCATATTATAGCTTTATTAGATGCTGCGTTTCTTCACAAACTCAGTTAAGTCCTCATCCATTTTATCCATCGTGGTTGAGATTCATAATCTTCAGCTGTTGGGAAACTGAAAACATGTACAGTGCAAAGTCTAAGATCCAGAGTCATCAAAACTTCGACGATTCAGGATTTCAGAATTTTCTGCATTTTAGATCATCATATTAAATCTGTTTAGACGACATGTAGAAATTATATTAAAAATATAATTAGTAGTTTATTAAATAATGAAGCATTTATGACCTTGAGGAAATTAAAAAGTAGGGGGAAAGGGCCCAATATTTTATTTGTTTACTTTATTAAACATTTCTTTCAGTTACTTCATTTTTTGTGCTATTTTCTCTTTAATTTTATATACAGATGTAATTTCTTGTTCAGTTTCAAAGTCCATTGTTCAAATCCTGTAACTGACATGTCAAGAATTCTCACTATATGATCAACTGAATTTTTTTTTTATTCTCAACAACCTGTCTGTCTTTATAGTTGGTAGTGATATTTTCTTGATTCAGAACCATACTACAGGTTTCACTGTCTGCTGGTTGATTATTGGGGCATTGTCATCATAATGGAAAACTTCTGTTATATCATCTTCATTTATTACTTCTATACATTTCTTCAATGATTCCATTAATTCAAAAATTTTGCTTTTTGTTTGTGATATCCGAAAACCTCAAATTTGCGGCTATCACCATTAAATGTGGCTAGCGTCCATTGTACATAATTGTAAATGTATTATCATGAGATTGGAGAGTAAAAACATGTTGTTTGTCTAAAATTTGTCTTGCTTTTTTGTGCTTTAAGATAATTAAGCCTAATAATATTAGTTTAATTATGCACTTGTGACTAGTTTCCACATATGCTTAAGGCTTATCTAAATCTTGAATAAATTCCCACATATACAAAACTTATCTGATTAATTCAGCAGTTATTCTTAATTCAAACAGCACTCATTTGGCCTATGGATTATCATTTATGAAAGCTTATATGTTACATATGGAAAGAAATTTATGTTAAATCATCAACACACTGAGCACTTCACATTGCAATTGGGTGAAGTCTGTAATCATTGCCAAGCATATTTGCGACAAGGAAACTTTCCATGCTGTTTGGTATTCAGTTACTAATATTTAAAAAAATGCTTTAGACATCCTTGTGTGAGTCATTTCTTATTGGGATCTTCCACGTGCTTTATACGGAAAAATGTGTACCATGCATGTGTGAAGCATTAAACATACACTAAAGCAAGATGCTATTCTTGGAATCTAATTCTTTCTTTCTTTTCATAATAACTTTCTAAAAAAAAAATTCTTGTGGTCCAGGTTTTGGACATCAGGATTTCTAACTTTGTGCCGTACTGGACTTGTTCACTTCTTACTAGCCTTACTTTCTCATATTGTGTGCCTAGGAGCCACAGCTTCATGTAACAGTAATTGAAGTGAGGGCATTTCTCTATAGGTATTTAGCTTGGTATATCTTAAAGAACATAGTTTCATCAACTGACCAAATAATGGAAACATTGGCATATTAAATATGTATCTGAATAGTTTGCCAATAGTTTCATAGAATATGAATGGTGGTTCATGATTGTGTGTAACACCTTTATTTCTTCAAAAATATTTTATAAAGCTCTCATCTTGTACTGAGATTTGCTTGCAGTTCTCAAGGAAGGATATAAATGTGAGATTTTTTGCCTTATAAACCGAAGTTCGTGTCTAGACAATGCCATAGTAAGATCTGCACTGGTAAGAACTCACTAGACAGCTGCTGCTTTTCAACTTCAGAAATGAAGGCATGCATTAAGGTTGTATTAATAGCTGTAATAATATTAGGTTATAGCTTGTGAAATTCAATGTTCTCTTATTCTTGCTGTGCATTAGATGTGCTAGTTTTTCTGCTGCTTCGATGCTTGTTGCCCCTAACTATACTTCCATCTCAGATGACACATTGCAGAATTAGACTATCACTTCCAATGAACTGACTTAAATTCTCATAAAAAGGCACACAGCTGTGCTTTCTTAACCTTAAGCATCGCTGCAACTCCTGAATCATGATTTAAGACTTTTTGCTGATGACAGGTATTGATAGTTTGTTTCTCTAGCAGAACACAATAGTAATAGGCCATATAAAACTATTCATAAGACTATAATTAGATTTGTATATGAGATTTTTCAGCAAAACTTACCCCCTTGAGTGGCATGACTGCTTTTATTTGATCATGAGTTTTTTGGTCACTTGGTATATATTAACGTAGAATTTAAATTAGTTTGATTTCTTACTTTCTTTAATGATGTAAATATTATTTAATGAATGGAAGTTTATGAAAACAGGGACTAAAATAAATAATTATGTAAATTTGGCTAATATATGTTATTTAAATACAAGTATTCATGAGCAGACTCAAAAAGCTGTGCTGCTCAAAGTTTAAGTTAAGGTGTTTTTCTTTATCACAGCCTACTAAAGCGAGTAATCATCATCAAGATTGAGGTGTCAAGTGCGCTTATCTCCTGAGCCTTACTTACATATCACAAAAGCTTATGGGCTGCAGAGAGTATAAAAAATACAGTACAAAGTCCATTATCCGGAATGATCTATAATCCGGACCTCAAAGCCACAAATTTTTTTTGTATGTTTTACGCATGCGTGTTTAATGCATAACGGACGGTATAAGCTAGGCTAAAATTATCTTTACTGATTCTAAAGCATTTCTGTTAATGTTGCAGATTGTGCTGTTCCTTAATCTTCTAATTGGATCGGGCTTATTATTTTTTGCAGACTGTTAGAGCAATTTTATAGAAATTAAACTTAATCTTTTGATTACGTCAGAAAGAGTTTCCAATTCTGGAGCTGCCAAAAGATCTACAAAGCGAAAGCATGTTTCGATGTCCATCAAACAAAAAGTGGAATTGCTGCAAAAAATGGATAAAGGCATATCCGTCTTTGTAACTGAACAAGAAATTATGTCTGTTTATAGAATTAAAGAAAACGTATTAGCACAAAAAATGAAGCAACTTTAACAACGTACATTGAAAGAAATGTTTAATAAAGTAAACAAATAAATATTAAGCTTTTTTAAATTTTGATACCCTTTAGATCATAATTGCTCTTTATTTCATAAATTAGAGTTTCATAATATTAATTGTATAATTTCTGCATGCCATCTTACCAGATTTAATTTGATGATCTATAATCCGGAAAAAGCTCTAATCCGGAATCGCCGAAGTCCCAATGAGTCCGGATTACGGACTTTGTACTGTATAAGAGATAAAAAAGAGAAAAGAGTTATTAAATAATCAGGGAGGGAGGGATGAAATGCTGATCTCACAAGCATATGTCCGGAAATACATTTCTCAAATTGTATATGTAAATAGCTATACAGTTTGAAAATTTTTTCACTTTACAATCTTTTCCCTAGCTATGCAGCAGATGCTTTACTAGTTTGTAGTTTACACTGGGGCAAGCATTTGTATGTAGCTTAAAGCTGTTGCATATAGTAAGGTAAAAGTTCACTTCACCTTGTTGATTCTTTTACTTTAAAGTGCATTTAGTGTACACCGTAAATAACACATGTATCAAGATATGAAAAATAGCATTATCTTTAGAAGTTATACTCTGCACTAAACTCTTATGACTTTCTCATCTGTTATGCAAAAGAAGGAAGAAAAATGTAGGAGAACTTGAAAAGTAATAGATGAAGTGATTTTGCTTAGATAACAGTTTATAAATTGCTGTTAAATTACTCCAGTTTCTTTTAATAAGCATGTCATGAATGTTCTTACACTTGAATCATAGCATTTTGATTCACAAATTCTTGTTTATATATAGTTACCTTGTTTTTTAAAAGTAATATTTCTTAAGTCTAATTTGATTTTGCAAATTAAAGGTCTGAAAATGGTTATTGTTAAAAATGTTAGAAAGGTTTTTAGCTATATAAGATGTGGTTCAAAACATCAGGGTGAAAAATAAAGAAAAAGAATCTTCTGGTGTTGAAATTTCATCATATAAAGCATCATTACAAGGGCAGATGTTAGCAAATATTTGCACTTTTGAAGTAGTATTTTACAAAATGCAGATTAGGGGGCAAAAGCAGTTGTAAACCATTGTAGAAATATACTTTTTTTACATAAATGAAAACTAAAAAATGTGTATAAATTTATTTTTGCAAGTGCAGTGCTGATGTGAGGAATTAAGTACAAGAAGAGCAAAAATCTTTTTATTCTAGATTTTAGATATTGCTTAATTTTCAATTTGAAATTGTTTAGATGTTTCTTTTCCCGTGCATGCTATTTTCTGTATTCCAGATATCTGTAGGTATAGAGGTACTTGAGTCTGTATGTACAGAACTTCAACAAAGCATTTAATACAGGTTTAAAACTATGCAAGAAAGCAAACTTAGTTTAACATAAATTTTGAGTAAAATTCTTATTGGGTTTGAGGCTATTAGACACAGCCCCTTTTCTTCAGAAGCTGATCTCTATTAATCGGTCTCAGTAATATTAGAGTTTTATTCTTAAATTTAAGGAAAACTAATGCTGCTTTATGCCTTATTTTTTAATTGTATTTTGGCATGTTTTCTTCCAATTTAATATAGATCTGTTTTCTTAAATATAAACCAGTGCAGCTTTATCAGTATTCTCAGTACAGTTGCCTCTAAATTATTATTTCCCCAGAACCTTTTAATTGAAGCTTTAATTTAGTTATTTTAACATAATGTTCTATGTTTTAATATGGTTTGAAAGTTATCATGAATTAATGCCTTGAACGATTGAATTATAAGTACTTTGCGCATAGCAGTATCGCTATTATGCTTTATGTCAAAAGAGCTGCAGACAATGATATAATGGAAAGATGATTTTGCTAAAGAATTCTTCTGAGCAATCAATTACGTATAAATCACATTACAAAATTCATTAATGAAGTTAAAAAAAGTCAAAATTGCTCATTTGTTTGGCATAATATGAATGTTCTGAGTGTAGGGGAGCTAGGGGCTAATTGTAACAGGGGTAAGTAGTAACATACACATATATGGTGTTTTTAAAATTCTGTATCAGAATTTTCATTGACCATCATTCTTATGGTGGGCCCTATTATATAAGCACATTCAGTGCCATGCCAAAATAGATAGTGAGAAGTTGTGGGCACACGTACTATCTTAGCTACTTAATGGGGGTGGGGAATTAATTGGAAATTTCAGTTAAAGTAAATTAAATATTTTTTTTTAAATGGTTTTCCCTATTTATTTTGTGTATGTATTAGTGTTTAAAATGTTGCTTTAATTTTTTATTGATTGCAATATTTTTGTATAAATTAACAAAATTATTTGAAGTCATATGATGGGGCAGGTTGCATCTAATTTTCCTTCCCCAAACGGAAAATCCTTTTTTTCATTTTCAAAGAGTAGACCTCATGGTTCTGCTCTTATATGTGGCCTAAGATCACCAAATATGGCGATATGTGTTCTGCGCTGTTTTTTGGCGTGATTCTGTGCTGTGGGTTGGTTTGATGGATGATGCTGTTTGTATGGCTTTTGACGTTGAAACTTACAGACGTGGTGGCAAGATTACAATCGCGTATTTTGGATTGTGTGAAAAGTAAATTTAGTATTAAAAGGTACGATGTTGGCAGTGTTAATGAGTCTTTTGTTCACGGGTGTGTTTATGCAGATAGAAGTGCATTTTTGGAATTTCTGTGTGAGTCAATGACTTTTAAAACGGAGTTTAACGTGTCCGAAATGTGGAGCTGATATGAGAAGTCAGACAAAGAATGGTGTTTCTGATAGACTTGTGTGGGTTTGCAGTCAAATGGTTGTCGAAACTGGCGGGAAGTTTCTTTGACGATGGTATACGAAAACTGGTCACCCGCTATAACAAGTGTTTGATCATTGGTGGAAACTATGTTGAAAAATAGTTTAAGACATGTATTTTCATGTAAAAATAAAATTGGATTCGAAAAAATTGTTTTACTATTTTTTTTTTTTTTTTTTTTCAAAATGGTACTTAGTTTCTGAATATGCCTCATATAAACCTGCTTCAAAATGCTAGACAACCAAATAATAAGTTTTTATAGTGTTGGAATATTAATGTAAACCTTGGAAATTGATGTGAACAACATTTCGCATGGGAGAAAGCACACAATTTTCATTACCATGTTTAATAATATGCTAAATTTTGTGTAATATATTTTTGAAACAGGATTTCTAATCCCTCTTCAGAAATGCACAGCATTGACTAACCAAACAATGCTCAGAAATACACAACACTGACTGTAGAACTTGAATGTACTGTTGTGTTCTATTTGAGTTCTTTGCTTTAGCTGTCAAAGTAGTTTTCAAAAGTTATATGGAGGACTTACCAAAAGATAAAGTGAGCCTAATTGATGCATTTTGGAGAACTTAGGCCTGTTTTTACCTAGGCTCAAACATGATGTTTTAGATTCAAAACTTACTTATCTTTATTAGACTGCACATTAAGTAAAATGTGGCTCAAGAGTTTTAAATCAACAAATTTATTGTATTTTAGGTACTAGTAGATATTTTGTATAAAATGTAAACTTCATAATCAAGTGATTATTTTTAAGCAATTTTTTGTAAAATTTATGGTGTTTTAAAAAATGTATAGTTAAAAGGCTCTGTCATGATTAGGATTGTTTGTAGCAAAAGTATAAATAAAAACATGCAGTGCTTTTAAAAAGATTTATATGAAATATAGGCTATGGTTAATGTATAAGAAATTTATATATATAATTAATGTATTGTATCATTTGCTATCTGGTTATTACCATTAGGAAATGCAGAAATTAAAATCTATTGAGGATGTTGAAGCTTTTATGCTGAAGCATGGAGAAAGTATTGTAGATATGCTTGGTGGACAAATTGATAGGATTGAAATGACTCTGAAGGTAAGTCTTGTTAAATGTATTAGTTTATTAATTTGTTTCTCATAATCTGATGATGGTGTAATTATGGACCCAGCAAATAGACCCAGGATAGGACCACAGTAGCCCATCCTGGGGAGTTGGCTGGCTGCTGGAAGTTTTTATGGTTTTTTGCTTAAGTCAAAGGAATACAAGCCAGTTTTCCTGTAAAAGTCTGCTACAGAGACATCTCACTCTTAGTGTCTCTCACAATTTGCCTTAATCAATTCATTAGTTGATTGTAACAATTTACAGTCTAATGAATACATACTGTAATACTACTATTGGTGTGTTATTCATTGAAGGTTTCCATGAAGGCTACTTACTATACTAAGCCAAATTCCCTTTTCCTATTATATCACAATACCCCATTATTTCAACTGATGTACCTTAGTAAATTGTTATAACCACTTTTATAGGTAGAATAATAGTTTGAGTTGATTGTCATTAACCTTCTAAAACCTGGCTTAAATTCTCATAGTTCATTCATTCTTTAGGACAGTGCAATTCAAAACACTTTTTCCTCCTCCTCTACTGTTCCCTAAGTCGTTAGAGTAGTCATTTGTTCCCTCCATAGATGCAGTAAAATTTACTTGTTTGACGGATGCTGGATAATAGTCTCGAATAGGTTACTATATTTGCGACTTTTCCGAGGTTTATTTTGATTTAATTTAATCTAAATTGTATTTATTTATTAAGAGCAAAATGTATACAATGTTTATATAATATTTACTATTTTGGATCAATCTCGGTAATAATTTGTGGATTTTATGACTTTGTTTTTAGTAGAAATTAGGAAACGAGAACAGAACTTGACAAAATATAACCAATATGAACTAGCTTTATATGCCTGCAGGTTGGAATGCAATATTTGATAATCTATTTTCATTAATAAAATAATGGTAATGAATAATTTAATGAAATAATAATAATGAATTCATTACCACTAGATGATTAAAATATAATTTATTACTATTAGATATTGAAATGAACTTATAGCAATAATAAAGCTTTAAATCTGTTTTTTCACAATTTTGTTATTGTAATATAAAAAAGAAAATCAGAGCTATATTAGTTGTGTTTGATTATTTAACTTTAACAAATATTACTTTGGACTAGCTAGCAAAGGAGGTGTATTTGTTGAGAGATTTTCTTTGTAAAATTGGATTTAGTGTACATTAGCAGGGAAAAAAATTCTCTGAATGCCCATATATGCAATTTATTTTATACCTGAAGTGTGAAGTCTCATGAAATAATTTCTTAAATCTTTGCATTTTCGTGGTGTCCGTAGAGAGAGAGAGAGAGAGAGCACTTTTAAGCTTCTTTTTAATACAAGGGCTATTTTTTTTTCAAGGTCCAATTGGTTGCTAAAGGAAAGCTTCGGAGGAAATCTGCTAGGTCTGTGTGCAGACGTCTTGTGCAGCGTCTCTAGTTGGCCCAAGGAACATGTTGATTCGCAATTGTCATTTCTGAGTATGTAGGGAGCACATAAACATTCTTCAAAAAGTAGTCTCCCGCCAAATGTGAATTGCTTTCAGTCATTCGATTTCTGCATGCTAAAGGAAGCAATGCAGCTGAAATTCATAAATGAATGAGTAAAGTGTAAGAGGAAACATTCATGAGTGACAGCAAAGTGTGGAAATGGTGCTGGAACTTTGAAGCTGGACGCACAGGTGTTCATGGTGCAGGCAGCCAGGGAAGGAAGCCAGTGTCAACCGATGATTTTGTTCAGCCTGTGGGTCAGGCAATTTGTGGAAATCGTCGGTTCACAATTTCTGGGTTGTGTGATTTGTTTCCTGAAATTTCACGGTCAACTCTCTATAGCATTGCGAGTGGAAAACTCCAGTACCACAAACTTTGCCCGAGATGGGTTCCCAAGGTGCTGTCTGGCCATCACAAAAACTCAGTGAATGGGTGCCACATTAACCTTCCTCCAGCACCACCGTCAGGACGTAGACGAGTTTTTGGGAAAATTGTCGCAGGAGATGAGACATGGGAGCATTATGCAACTGAAGAAACAAAAGTGCGATCAAAACAGTGGATGCATTCACATTTCCCAAGTCATAAGCCATTGAAGTTCAAGCACACATTCTCCACCAAAAAGCGTATGGCTACTGTGCATATATAAATACATGCTTATCTAAGTGCTAGTTTTAGCAACCGAATGAAAATGCAAGATATAAAAAACGTTTTTGAATAGTTATCTAGAAAATATTTATCATATTCGCAAAATAAAAAATGTTTCTTAAAAAAAAATTACATAATTTTTTTAAAATCACTCTGTTTACGACATTTTAGATAGCTTTTAATAATTTCATAATAGATTTGAAACAGATAGGATTTTTACTCCAGTACTTTATTTGCTACAGGTTTGAAAAGGAAGACATTCAGAAGGTCATCATGTTTATGTATTTCACTTCTCTCTTTCCTCTGCTTAGAATATTTTTCTATGGTGAATCACACTCACATATCTATTCAGTATTCAATATGACATTTTATGTTACAGAGTTATATTTTCGTTTAATTTATAAAAAATACTAAATATTTTTCAGGTTTTAACATTATTGCAATATATTAAAAAATATAAATTTGCATTATCAACATAGAAAATGAACGATACTTCAATTTAAAAATATTTGAACAGTACTGCCATCTAGTAGCAGCAATTCCTACATGTGCGGTGGGACGTATTTGTCCCACCTTTTAATTTCAACCATTCTTAATTAATATATATGAAATCAAATAGTAATTTTTATTAGAAAAGGAAACTTTCGCATAAAAATATTCATTCTGACATCAAAAGTAGTTGTTCAGACGATTTGAATTGCATTAGAAATTAAGAAAGAAAACTGCTTCAAAGTTAGGCCTGCAAAGAATTTTTATTTTACATTATTTCCATGAATGAATACTAGTGCCGCCATCTGTTGTACAATTAGAGAACTAAAAGGTGTAATTGTATGTATTTTAAATTGAATTTTGCAGCTTTCATCTGTGAGATAAAAACTGATTATGCCTGGTGGTGGTGGTTATTAAGGTGGGACACCTGGCACCCCATCCCACTTCAAAGTGTTAAGCTTTTATTGTTAAAGGATGCCTGCACGGAGCAATTTCCCATCTTCTGATTTCAGAAATGTTCCTTTTTTTTTTTTTTTTTTACTTATTTTTACCTAAATTACTTTGCTTGCAATATCTGTTAAGAGAAAACTGTTATACAATGAAAATTTAGAAAATGTTCTGAATTTTGATTCAAGTTGAAATTATTTAAATATTAATGTGAGTGGAAAAATAAATTGTATTTATTTCTCGGCACGAAGTGACTATAATAAATACGGCTTATTATTATTTATTTTCTCTATTTTGAACTGCAGTTTCATCATTAAATCTTGCAATATAATTTAGTTTTGTGTTTTCCCCCCTATCATTGCAAATTAGTTCTGTAAATTGAATTCTTATTTAAAATTTAAAGAAAAAAATATAATTATTTTCCATGGTTGAGTAATACTCATTCTCTCTTAATAAATACTGAATCTCTCATAAAAATTACTATTTGATTTCTTATATAAATTACAAGTCTAATTTTTCATTTAAGATTATGCAGTTGTGTATAATGTAATTAGACATTTTTTTTCCCCTTCTTAAAATGGGCTTCAAAAGTGCTTTTATAGGTGCTTATTTTTTTAACTAAAATGTGGCTACTAACCCTGTTAAAGTAAATCATGCATAAATTAGTGTAGAACACTAATGCAAAAGAAGTACAGTCAGATTAAACAAATATTTAAGCAAGTATTTTTCTTGAAAATTTCATTCAGTATGAGGTGTGTAAAACTCTTTTATGTAATATGGCTGCAAAAACGTCCTCTTTTTCACTACCAAGCATGCTAATCGGAAACACAAATAGAAAATTCGGGGGAAAAAGCAAACATATTTCTCCCCCCTCCACCTCTTTTTTTTTTCTAATCTTTGAAAAATGTTAACAAATAGTGTTTACGTACAGATTCCGTAAAGCCATCAAAATTTAATTTGAATAGTTCCCTGTTAAAGTAAATCATGCATAAATTAGTGTGGAACACTAATGCAAAAGAATTACAGTATTAAAATTAATTACATAATTCTTTTTTAATTCTCATTTACATAGTATGTACAGGATTCCTGAAAAAACTACAGTCAAAAGTCTTTAATCCGGACACGTCGGGACTTTGACGATTCCGGATTATAGATCATCAGTTTAAATCTGGTAAGATGGTATGGAGAAATTATAAAATTAAAAATATGAAACCATAATTTATGAATAAAGAGCAATTATGATCTAAAGGGTATCAAAATTTACAAAAAAAAAGCTTAATATTTATTTGTTTACTTTATTAAACATTTCTTTCAACGCGCGCATGCTTAAAGCATATATTACACATAATCGAAATTAGAAAATTGCAACCAGAAAACTATTTGATGTGTGCTCATGATATTTATAATGACGAGGAATTTGATTTAAATCATATCAAAGATGGAATACATCGAGATGAAATACTACATTTAGTAAGGAATTATAAGCTGAATAAAATAAAAAACATCTGCCCTAAGATAAGGATAGTGCTGACAGATCAACTTCCAGTTCATTGCACTCCGCGACAGGGGGGGACTTGATTATTAACCTCGCAGAGCAGCGTGAAATTGATAAACAGATTTCGGAATGGTTAAAGAAACAAAGTATTTGCGTTTATCCATTTTTTCCAGCAATTCCACTTTTTGTTTGATGGATATCGAAACATACTTTCACTTTGTAGATCCTTTACATATTAGCAACTATATATCGGAAATTTTATTTGACATAATCGAAAGTTCAAGCTTACTTTTATGAAATTGCTCTAACAATCTGCAATAAATAATAAGCCGTATCCAATTCGAGGATAAGGAACAACGCAATCTGCGACATTAACAGAAATAGATAATTAGATAATTTTAGCTTAGCTTATACCGTCCGTTATACA